AATAATTAAAAAAAACATTCGATTCGATTGAGGCAGGTCAAGCCGTTCCGAAGATACGGGGCAAAAAGTGCGAAAAATGGTAACTCAGTTTTTAAGAGAACGGAGCGTCCGATTTTGATAATTCAAAAAACATTTTACTTGTATTGACAAGATGAAGAATTGATCAAATTTTCATGAAGGCAGGTCCAGCGGTTTCGGAGATCTAGTAAAAAAAGTAAAAAAATTGCCATTTGGCGTTGAAAAATGATCATTAGACATATGCACATCAAATTATCAGATATTTTATAGAGATTTTAACAATAAGTATAAATTTTGTTTACATTCCCATGGGTTCCGTACCAATGTTCATCCGTTAGCCGGCGACGCGGCGCTTACGCGCTTTGACAGTTTGTCTCTATGCAATTAAAGCAGTACGATTGCTTTGAAAAAAAGTTTAGAATTTCCAAAATATGTCAAAATAAAGAAAACATCTTTTTTCAAAAAAAAAAAAAAATTAAAAAAGTAATTTTTGTCAAATTCATAGTTTCTCAAAAATCTAATTTTTTCAAAGTTATATTTTTTCAAAAATGTTAGTATTCTTAAAATAATAATAGTGTTTGGTATGGGAAGTTAGAGCAATTTGCCTTAAGACACGATGCCATGCGCCCCACTAGTTATTCATATATTTTAGTATTTGATCAATATATATTGGTATACAAGACTTCAAAATAACCTTTGTAGTTTCAGGAACCCCAAAAGTGCTACTCGCTTTACTTTTAAATTCATATTAAATGTAATTGTCACTTTATTTTTTAGTAAGTTATATCACGAGGCCATCCATAGTATACATTTTGTAAAACCGAGTATTTCTATGTCAACTTACAAATTCAAATTGAATTGATACAAATAATATATATAAAATATACAGTAACATCTTTGACTATAGTAATTTGAATAATATGAACTAATATTATAATATAAATATAAAAGATGTGAGCTTTTTTAATTTCAGTTTATTGAAGTTGAATGATTGAGTGATTGATGAATGAGATGAGTTGAATGATTATTCAAAAATAAATGCAAGATATAATTGTTTATCGATTATTGATTTTCTTGCGTACAAGATTGTAATTTTTGTTAGTTGCGGTTGTTAAATAATTCGTTATAAAATTGAACGTATAATTACTATGCAAGTAAAACTAAATTTATTTATTAATAAAATGAAAAAATCACGAACTTGTAATTTTTAGTGAACATTCAATCCAGCCAATGAAGGAGTTTCTATAACAATCTGAAGTATTGCCATATTTTATAAGCTTTTACTTTTTTTCTTTCGCCAAATAACTACATTAATAATGATATAATTGCCGTTATTAGTATTGATCTCTGGACAGCGTCAAAGTAATTTATCATTTTTTCGAAAAATGTTTCATTTTTAGAGGCGAAAAATTGAACCAGTGCTTGACATCTTCTCCATTTCTTAATTTTTTGCCCGTTTAAAATGTGATTCATTCTCAGTTATCACCGGGTCCAAAAAAAGTTCGATTTTGTTCTGAACAAGCAAAGGCCAGAATATGGCAGCTCGATCATCCAAATTTTTCTGACACTTTCATTTGGTACGCATCTTGAATACTTACACAAAAATCCTATCTGATCAATATATGGTCAGAAATGGTTTCTTGAGCTCAACCTTTCTTCTATCGACGATGTCGTCAGAAAAGAATCTTGCTTCAACATTACCTTAACAACATCGTCGTCGATCAAAGATGCTTTCCCGGAACTGAAATGTCGACCTGTTGTGAATTTTTTATACTATCTTTTGCATATCCTAGTCTCCAGTCATTGAGACTGTCGGTGAGAATCTCGGAATTCGAGATACCCAGCTGTAAGTCTGTAAATACTATATATTGACACCCTAAAAGTTGTCTCAAAACCTATATATGGTTTTACCCTACCATATGTAGGTTTTGAGACAACTTTTAGGGTGTCAATATACAGTATTTACAGACTTACAGCTGGGCATCTTGAATTCCGTGGTGAATTTACTATAATGACTGGACTATCCTATCAAAAACATCTCCACCAATCATTTTTAATAAATGTCTACATGATTCTGTAGCATTTCTTCGTTAAAATTCGTTTACAATTTAGTGCCGTAAATGAACTTAGTCAGTCTCCTCGATTATATTACCACTTAAAACTGGTATGTATTAATTGAGCTGTAAAAATCATGCCATAAACTTGGCGAAAATGACAATTTTGGACAGAACTTTCAGGTAGACCTAATAACATGATACTAAAACTATTAAGAAAATATGAAATCATAATTGACGCTTTTGCGTTCAATATCTTGCTGCATTTTTGTGACTAAACTTGATACAAATTGTGATCTAAATTACACAAATATTAGGATATAAAATTTTTCACTGAAGTTATAATGTACGCGTTGGTTGCCGAATTATCACATTTAACTTTAAATCTTCCTGCAAATATTTTCCATTGCTCGATTTATCTGCATCGTTTAATAGATAATAAAACGATTTATAGATATTATTACGATAATTACTGCTATGCACTCGCGTAATTTCAAGAGGTTGGAGATATTGTTCAAGATAAGAATAAATTTTATCTCTTCCTTTGCCTTGAAAATTGATACAAAGTTTTGATTCGGAAAATTAAATGTGTACTTACACTTTAGAACATTTTTCAATATTGATAAATTTTAATTGGTGATATCAATTTGTGATTGAATTAAATAATCATTACAAGTTTCTCAATATGAAATTGGGGTAGACAAGTGTAATGATCCAAGACCAGTTTGCGGTTAAATCAAATCGGTTTTTCTTAAACATATTTTATAGTCTGACTTGTCTTTAAGTCCTGGCAGGGTACATGTGTACATTATTAACTTCCCGTATGGTAATTATAGTAATGGTTTGCATTTCTCCACGTTTTGAAGGTTTTTGAACATTTTGGAATACAATGTGTTTTGTGTGTCCGCATTTTTTCGTTCACGTTTTCGGGCGCACGGATCAACCGATTTGAATGGTTTAAAAAACATTCGATTCCTATTGATATGAAGATGTGCTGATTAGTTTTTTTGCAAAGGCATGTTCAGCCGTTACGGAGATAAAGAGCGAAGAGTGCAGAAAATAGAAATTGAGTTTGAGAGAACGGAGCATCTGACCTGAATGATCTAAAAAAAACATTCAATTTGTAATGATTGGGAGAAGTGGTGATTAGTTTTTGGCAAAGGCAGGTCCAGCCATTTTGAAGATACCGAGTTAAATGTACAAAAAATGGCGCATTCTTCGACTTTTAGTTATATATGTTATAAGTTATATATCACATCAAATGTAATATAAATATAAATGACGGAATATTACAGGCTTTCTTATTGAGATTCCGATTGACTAGCCGAGAGGAAATATTAAATACGAATAATCCTTGCTCTAATTTTTAAATTTCATCTCGTAATATGAAATGATAGCACTGCGACGTTTTGGCAATACGCCCTTGTCTTAATTTATTTCAGTGTCACGCGTACGAACGCTAGTTAAGTAATCTCAAATATAAGATTTGCTTCTGACGGCATACGTTCTTTTAATCCAACGTAGTCATAGCTTTCAATATTGTAACTAATATCTTATATGCCAATTGATTCATAATTAGACATATTAAAAGTTGAAATCGAAATTTACATTATTGTTACATAAGAATATTTGACACGAGATATTAGTGGAGAAAATCGTATCTTCACTAAATATCGACTTGAAATAATTTAATTACAACTTCAGATTGTTACATTAAAATAGTCATTTGATTACATTAATTGAATCAAACACAAGCTATCATAGATGGTACCTCTGAGCCTTCTGAGTTAATTCGTTTCATAATCACGCTTGCATGTCTAATATCTTGTATCTCAAAGCAGTTTCTACCATATAAATACATTGAAATGCCATTGATTCGTTCCAGCGCAGTGTTTTTTTTTTTCATGATAAAAATAAATGAATCTCTATTGCTTCATAGCAAATAAGAATAACAAATAGCAAATAAAAAAATTACCAAATTAATCTAGTTTTTGCATTCAAAAAACTATCTATTGAGCATTATTCTTTTTAACTTACTATAGCATTGTATATCGAAAATGAGTTGAACATGTTTGTCAAAGAATTCTGATGCTCGACCAGTTGCATCTTTCTCTGGGTGATTTTTATACACAAACTTTTCAACTTTATCCCACATTGCATCAAATACACATTATTATATAGGAATTTTTTAATTTTAAAATAATTTACTTTAAATATTTGTATGATTAGTCCGGTCATTATAGTAAGTTCACTTCAGAATTCGAGATATCCAGCTGTAAGTCTGTAAATACTTGTATATTGACACTCTAAAATTCTCTCAAAACCTACATATGGTATTGATACCCTACCATATGTAGGTTTTGAGACCTGGGTATCTCTAATTTCGAGATTCTTGCCTAATTTAAGCTTAAATGACTGTACTATGATAGTTAAATGCCACTTCACATACGAAAATCCAACTTGTTTCATTCGCATCCCCATAATTTTACGTTTCGCTTGTTACTCGCCATATCTTGAACTTCGCTCGTATGACGAAGAAAATGAGCCGCTTCTTTGGAGGCTTCTATCTCGAAAATGTCGTATGACGAGTTGTACGAAAGTGTCGCATATATATATATATACATATATATATATATATACATACATATATATATATATATATATATATATATATATAATGTGCCTAATAGTAATTATATTCAAGTTATTAATTACTATATTCGCTGTTAGGCTAATAGTACTTTTAAATATATCCTTTGATTTATCTTTAAATAAGATTTGATTTTTAATTTTTTATATAATCGTAGTCGCCAATTGTACAAGCGAATTTCAATTGTTTAATTAAAGGTTATCGCAAAAAAAAATTCAAAACAATTTGTAAATTAATTCAAGTAAATTTCACAATCTAATAAAATCAATATTTTTCAGATGCAGGAGGACAAATGTGTGGAACATTTATTATAAGACAAGTTTAATTTTGATTATTCAAATTTGCACGTGTATTTAATCAAAATCCTTGACGTGTGAGTTGGGGTTCCATTGAAGTTAGTTTGTGAGTCAGCTATCCAGAAACATGGATGATAAGGTAAGAATATAATAAATATCTAACATTTTCCAATTAAAATTTTGCAAACTGATCTTTCTGTTTCAGCATCTTTTAAATATATATATAGCAACATATCTATATTATAGTTAGTCAATAATTATAATTCTTATTAAAAAATATGAATTTATAGATTGTCTCAGTTATTTCTAACTGTAAATCTATATTATATTAATTGAATATTAATGCGATGTATGTGTTATATAATAATTGCGTATGGTTATGCAAAAGATAATCAACTCTGACCCTGAAGAAGTAATATCGAACTAATTACAAGAAGTTTTACGGTGACACTTAACACTTCAACTACCAAAAAAGTACGAATATTATTTATATCCTTGTGTCCTGATTGTGATAAATACGTCTCTGAGCATGTGTTTATCATCCGACGCACAAAATTAACAGCCTAATTATCTTCGACTAACTGCCCATACCTGACTGACCGACTTTTAACCTACCTATGTAGATCTGACTGACTGACCAATTGGCTACTCATCCTATCTATCTTATTTATTTCCAACTGGCTGACTAGCAGTGATAGTTCTTTCATATAAATAGTAAAAAGTATCCAATAACCGAGTTGATTATGAATGAATGAGTGTATTGAATATGAATATTTCTATTCTATTAATTGATAATTTAAGCTTAAGCGATTTCTAATAGATGAAAAGGAAGCTCTCAAGGACTTCAACAACAACAAATCAGCCTTGATAATTATTTTCTTTATATGGTAATGATCTACTTGATGCCTTAGCGGGACATTCAATTAATAATTGTTGACAACGGTTTTCCAAATGGTTACTTTACGACTGCTGACTATTTTACACCGCGATTGCTTTTTCTGTTGGTTATGGTTAGCTGTGAACATTACTTAGAGAGCATTATTTTTTTCATTAATTTTCGCATTATATTATTTACAAGTGTCATTTGTCATTCCGGTTAATGGTTTTCTATTCATCGTTGCGTACTGTTCTGTGAATTCTATTAGCTTGTTTGTTCAATATATTCATTATGTGATTATGATCATTTAGTTATATACCAAGAATTATTTTAATAAGCCGAAAAACTATCTCGAGGATTGGCAGGTATGTCTCAAGTGCTTTGCACCTCGAAAAGCAGGGTTTAGCGTAGGCTGTCTGTTTTTTTTTGTCGTAACCCTTGCTTAAAATTACTAAATTACATTTAGTTAGAAGCAATTAATTTATAATTAATTAATTTTAATTAAATTGAGGTGTGAAAGAACAATTTTTAAACACAACTAAATCTAAACGATTTTCTGCGCCTGCAAATTCCACTTTACTTTTTTGTGTTCCGATATGAGTATTCCTGCCTAGTGAAAAATACTTTTATAATTTCGAATGTTCGACGAAATGAACAAATTAACTTTTTACCAATATTACTTAATACAAATATCACAATTTTTTATTGGTCTTGTGAGATGATCTTTAACCCTTTCGCTGTATAAAAAATACCGTTGTGCCTGTGCGTTCAGTGCGCTCTACTCAGTTGCACGCTGTTCCCGTACAGCGGCGACACTCCTGCGGAAAGCACTCCAGTAGCGAAAGGGTTAACCAGCGATTTCCAACCTGTGGGGCGCACCCCCTCAGGGGGGTCGCCTGGCTGTTTTAATGGGGCCACATACATCTCGGCAAGAATACTATTATCAAAAATAGCCCAACATTTTTGAAACGATATTAAAAATAAACAAAATTTATTAGTTTTTATGCATATTTTTACATAATATGGCATATTAATTTGTAGTCTGATAATGTCAGTTAAGTATTTAAATAGTTAAGCTGTTGAAAAAATTAAGAGGTGGCGCAACATTTTTTTTGTTAAAGCAGGGGGGCGATAAAGGTTGGAAACCACTGGGTTACGGGATAAAAATATTATTTTTGATAAAGTTTGATTTTAATACTTTCATAATAATCATATCGGAATATAAAATTACTAATTTTTTTTGGCAAATATTAGTAAATTTCTGCATGCATTTTCTTAATCCCACATAGATTTACACCCGTTTATACATAACATAAACGCAAGATTTTTTTTCCAATATGCGAGTGGATTTCATACAAATGCATAATATTATATATATATTCATACGAATTAGCATAAATGTATAAGTTATACACGTACATATACATGGCATATATAAAGTTCGATTATATACATCTTTAAGATTAGTGAACATGTACGTAAATATGTGTGTATATTTGTATGCATATTAGTGTGTGTGTGTGTTTATGTATATATGCGCCTACAAGTCGAACAAAATGTTCACGTTTCATATTCACAAGTTCCAACCCCGCCAGAGTCACGTTTTCTAAATTTTTTCACATTCGGTTAAATATTATAATTACAGTAGAACCTCGATTATCCGGACTAATTGCTGTCGATAGGCATCTGGATAAAAAAAAATCCGGATAATCCAAATTATGAAGAATAATGTTTTGTTTATCAAAAATAACAAATACATACATTAAATATCAACAAAATTCAATCCACTACTTGCCACAAACGATTCATCGCCGACTAATTTTTCATCTAAGTAGCATTTTTAGCGCTCGAAATATTTCCCAGAATAATTTAATTAACAATTTCGTAAATCAACCCATACTTTCAACACCGCTAGGACATTTTTCACCAAATGATGTCTTATGTGAAATAAAAAAGATGAAAAACAGATTTTTACCGGGTATGGACAAAATTACTCCAAAAATGATAAAAGAATTGCCTACAAAAGGTATTTTATATATAACAAATATTTTCAACGCCATCCTTCAATATAATTATTGGCCCACAGCGTGGAAGACTGCTGAAACTACCACTTTTTCACAGAGCAAAGGTCCAGATATCGGTTGTTCTCTTGATCGTTTTTGTAAAAACCAACAATAAAGAGCTTCTTCTAAGAGTTCATTTTTCGGTCTCTTCATCATTTTCCGATTTTCATTACCCTCTTCACTATCTAACTTGTGCAAGTGTGCGACAAAATAGAATCGGCATTCTTTTTAATATCGCCTATAGGATGTACCTACAACATACCTATCAGCTAACTTACGGCCGGTTTCGCCTTTTTTAATGATTCTATAATATTTATTTTATCTTTAAGGTATAACACCACCCTTTAAAAATGTATGTATACGTCAGAAAACACTAGTAAAATTGCAAACGAACTACATAAAGCGATAATGCCGCGCGGGGCAGCGAAACCGCGGCGCGGGCGGAATATGCAAGTTCCGACGCGATTATGTCCGGATAATCGCGAATCCGTATAACCGAGGTCCGGATAATCGAGGTCCGGATAATCGAGGTTCTACTGTATTATTAAATATACTACATAAATGTGATATATGATTCTACGGCACTCTAATGGGTTAAAATGGAATTTTAACTTTCTTATATTGGTCCCTAGAATCCGAAAATCATGTGCCTCAGCGGCTTTTAATTCGACCCGCCTTAATATATATATATATATATATATATATATATATATATCTGTGTGTGTGTCCGTTTGTGAATGTATGCGAATGTATGCATGTATGTGAACATGTTTGTGCTTATTCATTACAGTTTTTACACACATATATTTTTATGTATGAACACATACACGTAATATACAAAAAGGTATGTGTATGTTATTTGTTTTTTTTCAATCATTTTATTTTTAAGCATGTATTTTGTTTGTTTATTTTTTAATTTTGTTTTTCAGTGTGTTTTATTTTTCCCACATTTTTGTTATTTTAGCATGGGCGTTCCGATTCGTATCGCGTGGCTACAGTACCTACCATAGATGACAATTTGACAGCAGACGGTCAATACAAGGTAGAATTCTTAACATAACTTACGCACTAACACTCGGAAGCTAAAATTATTGATAAACCATTACTAACACTCTCAGCTGCGTAATGTACGACGTTTGTGGGAATTAACATTGCTTAAAGGTGTAAATTTATTTAATTAATCTTGGGGAACGAATAGTACTACTTCTGCATGATATAGGTGCCAAAATTAACAAATACGTGACTGTGACACGTGGAAAAGTATGTTACGTGTCCTGTTCTAATATCGCCAGAGAGAAGCGCGAGACTTTTCTCTCGCCTGCACCGCCGCCGTTATTCCTATTTTTAAAGATTTATCCGAAGTAATAAAGAGTGCGTGTCTAATAGCCATCGTATAAAAATCAATATTTCCGTGATTCTTAAAACGGATCACACTCGAAACATTATCGATCGTAGGCCACGAGTGCGCGCATGCGGTAACATATAATGGCGTCCGTTCGTTGTGCAGGCTAATTTACGAATTAACGAGACGACATTTAAATTGGCCACGAATAAGGTGAGCAGACCGGTTAAAGGGTCATCATTCATTACATGGCTTGCAATCAGAATCGTTTCTACGGGGCACCCCGATCCAGGGTCGAAATTCTTAATCGCCTCTGTACCGCTGCCTCTTTCACAATGCAAGCGTAGGCAGCAGGTTCTTTCAAAACAAATGGCTAAAATTATCTTTATTTTTAAATTTTATCTGAAAATGTAATTGTTTCTTTGTTGAAGACGTATTCATGTTAACGTTTCTTTTGATGCTCAATAGATACAGTACAAGTCATTACGTAACACGTGTAATTTATTGAAGAGACAAGACCTTAAGCAAGTTATTTTTGCAACACCAACGAAAGAATAATATGTATGTGCTTCGACATCACGAGTTATAGTACTATCACGAATTTGCTTAAAATGTACTATTACTCCAGAGACGAATAAATTCAATTCTATCAAAAAATTCACTTATTATTGCTTCAAGGAAGTGCTAATTTACTGTTACACATTTAATTAAAAATTGAGGAAGTGACTAGTAATTGTTATACTAGCACAAGGTTAGTTACTGTAGAGACAAGTTCACAATTTTATTTGTCCTACCTTAATCAATCCTAAACATTAACCATAAATTGGAATTGTTGCAGTTTTTTTTTTTAGTTTTTATGCATTTACAGATCAAAACTTTAAGCAATGTTTTAGTCAAATTCATTAGTTCGTAAACTGACGCTTGTCAAGAGTTTGCTGTTAAGCTCCGAGAAATCATCTACTATGCGATCATTATGAGCAATGATGATTAATGTGTATTTTGCAAATATTAGACAATAAATATCAGTAATAAAGGGCTAAATTATAATTGTAGAATATAATCCTTTATGTATTAGTCTTATTTATATAACTGTATTTCCTAAATACTAAAATATTTAAAGCTCTTTCGTCCGATGCGATACATTTGGTTGTTAATTATTAATAATTTTATTGCAAGCAAAATCAGTTGACTGCATCATACGAAAGAACCTTAAAGTTCAAATTAACTCTTTGGCACGAGGGCCGCATATGCATTTAACGCAAATTATCAAATTGACCGAATTCGAATATGCGTTTGGCGGAGACAGTTGCTAGAGCTAAAAAACGCATGGATGTCTCATCTTAAATACATGTCGATGAACGAGGGTAATAAACAGGAATAAGCAAACATTTTATGTATTCCGTAGAAAATCTGTGTGTATACATATATGTCCAGAATTCGAGTTGGCTACGAACGAAAATTGCTGTCGTTAAGTAGAAATTGGCGCTGGCAATTCTCGGTTCACTTTGAACCGTCCCGTCCCAAAGAGTTAAATCAGAGTACTATTCAAGTATTTTATGTCAATTCTTTGTAAATATTGATGTAAGAATAATTTTGTATACTCCTGTAAAAAAAATCTGTATTTAGGTATATGTAGCTCAAATAAATTTGTGCTTTTTATTCAAAGTATTTAGAATAATAATTTGAAAACTTTTGTGTATATCATACTTTTATACTAACACCGAGCAGTGATTCTTTTTTGTTTACTCATCTAATAATTCGAAACTTTCATATGTTTTAATACTGGAAATTTGTTAAAACACGATGTAGTTTTAAGAATTACTGGTCTATATTTGTAATTTGTCACAGGGTGAAATTACTTGTAGATTTTTTAAAATTGGATTTTATATTCCCTGTTTGTACGACACGGATTAACATCTAGCTTTTTTGATCGTCTGATCGGTATTTGGTAATAAAAACTTCAGTTATAATAAATAATATAGCATGTTATATTCTGTACATTATTAATTACTTCTAAAAATGTTTCGGGTATATTTAAAAATATGCAATACTCATTAGTTAGATTGCGAAGATTACTGCACATCCAGCTTATATACTTATCTTTGATTTAAATCATCTTCCTTGTCAATTTTACATCAACTTTGCTCAAAGTTGACTATATGAATATTGCATATATAACTTTCATCTAAAATTATCTAACCTAATGTATTATTTATGATATTTGTAAAGCATATATATTTGTAATGTTAATGTAAATTTGTATTTATAATGTATATTATTAATTATATATGACTAATATTACAAATACAATTCAAGGATTTTTAATACATTTGATTTTTTTCACAGTCGCGACGTAAAACGCCAACGAAAAAGCAAAGGAAGGAAGGAGAGCTTGATGACTTGAAACAAGAATTAGATATCGATTTTCACAAAGTATCACCCGAAGAATTATATCAACGATTTAATACTCACCCCGAAAATGTAGGTTCAAGTTTGTTGTATAATTCGATTGTTTTTTCTAACGCTCGTGGCAATTTTAGGGTCTTAGTCACGCCAAGGCGAAAGAAAACTTAGAAAGAGATGGACCGAATGCTTTGACCCCGCCGAAACAAACACCAGAATGGGTCAAATTTTGCAAGAACTTGTTTGGAGGATTCGCCTTGTTGTTGTGGATCGGTGCCATTTTATGTTTTGTCGCATACTCCATCCAAGTTAGTATCATGCTAATTAAATTAATTACTTTGCTCTGGTACTGAGAAGTTTTACTCACTGAGTGGTATCTCTCTTCTTACCTTTATATATTAGTACCTGTATATAATTTTTAAATTTATACTACTTTTGAGAATCACTGCTTTAGATAGATAATTATTAATTATGTAATTTACTTGTTCAATTTTTTTAACAGGCTAGTACTGTGGAAGAACCAGCAGATGATAATTTGTATCTTGGTATTGTATTGGCGGCTGTAGTTATAGTTACTGGTATATTTTCGTATTACCAAGAATCCAAGAGTTCCAAAATTATGGAAAGTTTCAAAAACATGGTAAGCTGAAGATTTGATAATGTGATTTTTTATATTTAATACCGATTGAAAATTATTTAAGTCCTGCATTACAGAAGAACCTGTAAAACATCAATAATATTTTCTATAATATGCAAATATGGTATATAGTGTGACGTGACAGCTTCTCTTTAACTAGTGTGAACCGCATTGTTTTGGTTGAAATCATGTCAACAGCGGATCAAACCGCTTCTAATTGGTTCAAACTGACGAACCGGTTTGAGCGTATTTTATGGTACCTTGTTGAGCTTACGATACGCTTCTCAGGTTTCATTTCGCTCTAATACCCCGGTTTCGTTTCGAAAAGTTAAACATAGATTCTTTTAATCAAAACTAAAAACCTATTTTTTTTACTGATATGCAGTCGATTACACTTAAACATTCGCCGAAATGTAGCTTGAATTGAATCAATAATTTCGGTAAATACGATTCTATGTCTTGTCTTCTAAAACAGGTTCCACAGTTTGCAACAGTATTACGTGAAGGTGAAAAGTTAACCTTACGAGCGGAAGATTTAGTACTCGGAGATGTCGTAGAAGTGAAATTCGGCGACAGGATACCTGCAGATATCCGTATTATTGAAAGCCGAGGATTCAAGGTAGACAACTCTTCCTTGACTGGTGAATCAGAACCTCAATCTCGAGGTCCCGAGTTTACAAATGAAAATCCTTTAGAAACGAAGAACTTGGCGTTCTTCTCTACTAACGCCGTCGAAGGTACTGCCAAAGGTGTCGTTATCAGCTGTGGAGACAACACTGTCATGGGTCGTATTGCCGGCTTGGCTTCAGGCTTGGACACTGGGGAGACTCCAATCGCTAAAGAAATTCATCACTTCATTCATCTCATCACTGGAGTCGCTGTATTTTTAGGTGTAACATTCTTTGTTATTGCAATTATTTTGAACTACCATTGGTTAGACGCTGTCATCTTCTTGATTGGTATCATCGTCGCTAATGTCCCTGAAGGTTTATTGGCTACTGTAACCGTATGTCTAACCCTTACTGCTAAGCGTATGGCATCCAAGAATTGTCTTGTCAAGAATCTTGAAGCTGTAGAAACTCTTGGTTCTACCTCAACTATCTGCTCAGACAAAACTGGCACACTGACCCAGAACAGAATGACTGTAGCCCACATGTGGTTTGACAACCAGATTATTGAAGCCGACACCACTGAAGATCAATCTGGAGTCGTATATGACAGAACCAGCCCTGGTTTCAAAGCTTTGGCGCGCATTGCAACTTTGTGCAACAGAGCAGAATTCAAAGGAGGTCAGGAAGGTGTACCCATCTTGAAAAAAGAAGTCAGTGGTGATGCATCTGAAGCTGCTCTTCTCAAATGTATGGAACTGGCTTTAGGAGATGTTATGTCTATTCGAAAACGAAATAAGAAAGTCTGTGAAATTCCATTTAACTCCACAAACAAATACCAGGTTTCCATTCACGAAACTGAAGATGCGTCAGACCCCCGTCATGTAATGGTTATGAAAGGAGCTCCTGAAAGAATCTTAGAAAAATGTTCCACCATCTTCATTGGAGGAAAGGAAAAACTACTGGACGAAGAGATGAAAGAAGCTTTCAATAATGCATATCTGGAATTGGGCGGTCTTGGAGAGCGTGTATTGGGCTTTTGTGATCTCATGTTGCCTACAGACAAATTCCCCTTAGGTTTCAAATTCGACAGCGATGATCCCAACTTCCCAATTGAAAACCTTAGATTTGTTGGACTCATGTCTATGATTGATCCTCCTAGAGCTGCCGTACCTGACGCTGTTGCCAAGTGCCGATCTGCTGGTATCAAGGTGACCATTCCTTTTTTTTTTGATAGTGCTCACAAATGTTTGTTCTGTCACCGATGATATTATTGTACTTGTAGGTTATCATGGTTACAGGAGATCATCCAATCACTGCAAAAGCCATTGCTAAATCAGTGGGTATCATCTCAGAGGGTAATGAAACTGTAGAAGATATCGCGCAAAGATTGAATATTCCTGTATCAGAGGTAAATCCACGAGAAGCCAAGGCAGCTGTTGTACATGGAACTGAGCTTAGGGAACTCAACTCTGATCAGCTCGATGAAATTCTTAGGTAAGATTTAAAAAAAGTCAATTTTCTTCATTTGATAGGATTTAAATGTAGCAAAACTGAAACTTCTTTGTTTAGGTATCACACTGAAATTGTATTTGCTCGGACATCTCCTCAACAAAAGCTGATTATTGTTGAAGGATGCCAACGTATGGGTGCTATTGTCGCCGTAACTGGTGATGGTGTGAATGACTCACCTGCTTTGAAAAAGGCTGATATTGGTGTTGCCATGGGTATTGCCGGATCTGATGTATCAAAACAGGTCAGTTCTATTAAAACATAATCTTTTTAATAAATATTAGATTTAAATCATTATATATTTAACCACTTAAGCATCCTGAACGAGACCTTCTCGCGCCGAAAGTGTTCCGATTTGCTCTCGCCTGAGCCGAGCCACAAGCAAATATTCGGTTTTCTCGCCTCTTTATTTACATACACAAGCGATAATTTTTAGCTCTTTTGTATTTCATATATATCTATGCATGTGAGCATAACAATGCTTTTTATAGACTATAGAAATATCGAGTTTATAGTCTATAGAAATAATATAGATTATTATTTCATAGAGCTTAAAAGTTTGAACTTTTAAGTGGATAATTATTATATAATTGTTCAAAAGTGCGATTTGGTGATTTTTGCGATCTGATGTATTTTTGCTTTTCCGTGAATAGTTGTTTTTTTAAAATAAAAAATGAAAATATTTTTTTTTTTAAGTTTCTTTTTAAATTCTTGTTTGACTTTATTTTATTTCTACCCTATTCATATATCAATTAAAAACAAAAAAAAAAACAAAAAAAAACTACTTATACAATATATATACAATAGCTAATAATGTAAATTATTAACTCGGTTTAATGAAAATGACATTGTACGATTATTAAATGGCACATTGTCATTTGTAACTTTATATATTATATGGGTATTTCCAATACCTATATTCCATACAATTTACTAAATCCTTAATATCAGTCCTCTTATTTTTGTTCAGGCTGCTGACATGATTTTATTAGATGACAACTTTGCATCTATTGTCACTGGTGTGGAAGAGGGTCGTTTGATATTCGACAATCTGAAGAAATCTATTGCTTACACATTGACTTCAAATATCCCAGAAATTTCACCATTCTTGGCATTCATCTTATGTGATATCCCGCTACCTTTGGGAACTGTAACAATCTTGTGCATTGACTTGGGAACTGACATGGTGAGTTTTACTTTTGAACATACTAGAATAAGTTATAATATTATTGAAAAGAATAGAACAGAACAAATTGATTAAATTTCTGGCAAGTTAGGTTTTTTATATATCAAAGAGTTTCGAAATGTTTTATTGATGAGATGATCAGGTTGTTTTTAACCCATAAACTGGCGGATTTCATCTAGGTGCCCGCTATCTCGTTGGCTTACGAAGAATCCGAATCCGATATTATGAAGCGCAGACCCCGCAATCCCTACAGCGACAAACTTGTAAATGAGAGGTGCTCCTATATTAAAATCGCATTATCTTTATTAATATTTCTTAATTTATCACTACTAGTACTTATTTCTTATATATATATTTTTTTTATAATGCTGGTTTGTATCACTGTGTGGTTCTATCTAGTGTATGGTTTATTTCTGCCATTCTCATGTTTTTTGCAAAGTTTATGAAATAGTACTTTAGAATGAACGAATTTTTAGCGTTTTTATGTAGATAGTTCTATATAGATTTTCAATTCTCGGAATGTCTAATTTTTTTCTTCGTTGTTACCAACATTACTGTATCTAGCTGTAGCTGAAAAGATAAGTTTGTTTAGTACAACTTGTGGATAATGCAGAATATTATTTTTTATATGAATTTCTCTCATACTGCAATATAGCTTCATTTTACTATGAACCTTCACTTACAACAAACGGCTATATCAATGAAATCAACAAGCGATACTTTAAAATGATAATGCATGTCAGACTTCTACATATGGCTAAGCAATTTTGACTCTTCACAAGCACAAATATTAAAATCTCAACACGATTCTATGCACATTCAGTATATATTCATACCGAGCCCAGATAACTATAAATAAAACAAATTAGATCTCGAGAATTATGAATAGTTGCAGGGTTTGTGAATAACGTAATGCATACAATTACAGCAAATGTAATGTATGTATGGATCAATAAATTAGTGCTATATGATTCCCCATTACATTACCATCAAAAAAGGTATGTTATTTGAATCCATTATACAATTTGTGTGAATGCGTGATGATTGTCATTCCTCTATGCATATATAAATTATATTTGTCAAATAACAATTTGTAAATAGGTGCCTGCCATCTCATTGGCCTACGAACATGCTGAAGCTGATATCATGAAGAGGCCGCCTAGAGATCCAGTCAATGACAAACTTGTAAATTCCAGGTGTGAACTAGTCCAGTCGAATTGATATTAATAACAAATTAATAAGACTATATTATTGTGATTTGAGTGCGCACATTTACTGCCTTCTACTAATCATAACTTTCTACTGCTTGATTTTAATGCTTAACATAATTATGAACAGGTGATGGAGCTCGAGGTGGAGGCAATAGAATAATGAATATGCATTTTTGCATATGATTGTTATATTTGGTGACATATATCCAATGTTTGAACTTTTATGATGATAATTATTTGACTTGAATTGTATTTGAACGCAATATTTTGACATTTGCATCACACATAAACAACAAACTGAATACGCAACACCACAAGAAACAGTTCTGATTATTTCTGCCCAATTTAAGTTATTCATCGTTATTTCCATTACTCATTTCATTGAATAACATTTTCATTATCGACAAAATCATTTATCATTGAGATTACGATTTTAGACCAATTATATATAAAGCAAATATGGTTGGAACTCTATATGCATTCCATGTTTTGCAGAATAGTTCTAATGAAAGGCGATCCGAATGTTCAATCATGTTCATTCTTCTATATTAGACTTGTCAAAGGAAAATTGTTATGATAATACACAGAATAATTATTCTATGAAGTGATAATTCATATCCTGTCTATTTTCTCGGACAATTCTAATATATATGATGAATTTGACGCATGTTTTTTATAATAAACGTAATTATATCAAATATTGGTGTGAAATTAATTGTTTCTGTTCGCCAATGTCATGAATTCACAAAAAGGTGCCAGCCATCTCATTGGCTTACGAGGAAGCCGAATCTGATATTATGAAGCGCCAGCCCAGAAATCCATTCACAGACAAGCTGGTTAACGAGAGGTAACAGTCCTCTATGTCGACGGTGTCAAGTGTTAATCGTTCAAACTTAAAATGATTTAAAATGAGAATTTCTTACAATTGATTAATTTTCGGTATTAAACATTTGCTAAATGCTAAATGCATGTAAATGTCATATCTGAACTCTCAACAACTACTACTGTCAACGGGTTTTTCTTCAACATCTTGTCTCGATTTCGATCTTCTTGATTTTGCTGGCCTTTCAATTTTCATCACAACTTGCATTCTTCATTTCATCACGTTGTACTAATTTTTTCTATTCAAGCATGATTTCTTCAATCATCTCAGTGAACAGCATAATTGTTATTCGATGTATATCTGTGTATTTTCAATATTGTGTAACTGTATTGCTATAGTTGTCATCTTTATCACTTTTTTGTTCAAAAGTATTAATGTTACTTTACAGACTCTCACAATATAAATTTTTATTTAGTATCGTTTTAAAGCGTTCTACATAGGATTTTTTTCTTAATATTCTATTTTTACAATTGATGTTTGTTGATCCCAACAATAACACTTTTAGAAACCAAACAGATTAATGAACAAAATTTTGACTAAAAAGATGGCAATTATGGAAATTTTCCATGAATGTGAGAAAAAATGCCAAATTGTGATATTGATATTGATCATTCCGTTAATGTTTCACATCGTTATTCATTATCAACTTGTAATGATGAAACAGAATTTGGTATGCTCAATATCAAATATTTATCAAAATAATTGTCTTAATTTCGTGATTGGATATTAGTATGAATTGGAAATATTTGTTTCTGTATACTACTTAATTTGCTGTGTAGACTAAGGTAAGTGTTGATCAATAAAGGGGGGCAGAATACGATCTGTTCAATAGTCGATTGAAACATTACAGAACCTCGTTTCATGTAAAATCATATTTTATCATGCATTTCACATCTAAATTCTATTTTGACTCCTTAATGTACCTGTGCAATGTTTATTTTCTTCCTAATTGCCCACATACATTCAGACATCCACACACTACCTTGATATACTCACAAATATTACTACTTCTACTTAAATCAACTACACTATAGATATTTAAAGTTGCAAATTCTTTGTTCGTATTAATTTGATAATTTTCATGATTAGTAAACTTTATTATTCTTCATTACTGTTTGAATTGCAGATTCATCTATTAGCTGAAAATATTGGAATAGTTCTGGATTTTTGTAGAATTCATTTAGTTCTTATAAACTAAAATCTTTCATTAATTTTTGTTTGCAATTTTTGTTTTCAGCAGTAGTAATACTGCTTTGAAAATCGCGGGTGGCTCGCGTTCTGCACAACGATTTTGTCGCAATGATTGCGTCTTTTAATATTATTGTGTACCATATTTGGTTTTGAAAGCATGACAAAGATTTATACAGGAATAACCATGTTTTCCAAAATCGTTTAATAATATCGAGACGCTTTTGTTCTGATAGAAAACTCGTTGTGTATTGCGCGATCCTTGGCCATCTTGACTTCTTGCCAAACTCGATACTCTTCAATCAAGTTTGGTGAGATGTGCGCGGGAGCTAATTACATTAAACAGTAGTGTGGTATATTTAATGCAATTGAGATTTTTGCTTATTTTTTTTTATTGACTAACATCTATTCTGTTGTTTGCACCCTCTCTTCGACAAAGGTGCCTGCTATTTCTCTGGCTTATGAAGCTCCTGAAAGTGACATTATGAAAAGGCAGCCTCGCGACCCGTACAGGGATAACTTGGTCAATAGAAGGTCAGATCCTGCACAGCCCCCAGTAAAACACAAAAAAAATAAACACGCCCGAGTCCATATTTCGATGGTTGATTATCTTTGTGTAGCTGGCACTATATTTGTAAAGCCGAATGATCAATTTTTTTTGTTGGTTCTCACATCTTAAATAATTTTCATCTAACATGACGAGCCCCAAGCCTGTGTACACTTTCAGAATCGCTAAAAAAATAACAGGTTGAGAATTTACCATATTTGCTGTGATTTGTTATTGAGTTAATTTTTTTATATATTTGAAACCACACACATACATATTACACATAATACATATATATTAGGACATTTTAGAATTTCCTTGCTCCCAGGGGCTCAAATGCTTCCAAATTGATAAATAATCCTCTACAAGATTTAGCTCTTAATATTGTTTTTTAGATAGTGCGCAATTCAATCAAAGTTTTGTAATAGCATGGAAAATTTTTCGAAAATTTTAAACATGTTTTTTAGATATAACTTAGCGAACAAATGAATGAGTTTTATTCAAAATTTGACGCTCTACAAAACAAATTATAAAAAACTTGTTTTATAGGGCGTCGAATTTTCAATAAAAGATGACACGAATTGTCACTTCTAATTCATTTGTCGCTAAGTTATACATAATTTTCCATGCTATTTTCATACGAAGCTTTAATTGAATTGCGCACTATCTAAAAATTAATATTAGGAGCTAAAACTTTTAGAGAATATTTATCAATTTGGAAACATTTAAATCCCTGGGAGCAATAAAATTCGAAAATATCAATATTAAGGTCCACCCTAATATATATACATATATATATATATATATAATGCGGGTGTATGAGTATCTGTATATGTAACTGTGTTGGTGCATGCATGTATGTAACATTTGCATCGGTTAAAATAACACTTAAAATTTTACTAAAATTTTTACATCGCCAAGTATTGCGATTGCTAGAATTCCTGAATAAACAATACAAAAAGCGTTAATAAAACCTATGGTTTGTTTTAAGAGTTTGAAGAGTTTCAAGAAAAATACTTACTTGATATAATGATAATTACATTTTAGTAATATAATTTTCGAACAAACTTAACATGCAGAAAATTGTATTTGCGTTATGCGAATTTTACTCAATCTACCAGCTTAACATGGTTCAAGTTTTTTTTTTTTTTTTTTTTTTTTAAACACTAGCGCATTCTGAAAATGTTGTATAAAGGCTTGGGGTTTAATGAATATTTTTATAGATTTTAACTGGATTATCATGCGAATTTGAACGATAGTTTTAATCGGTTATTTCATTGTTTTCATTAATGTTTTTCTAATATTAATGAGAAGTGTCAATGATTACTGAAAAAATACTTGTTACTGATACAATGACTCAAATAGAGTGGTTTTAGATTTAAATACAAAGAAAATCTATTTGAAATGCATTGATGCTTCTCATTACACTTCATCGGAAAATTGTCAAATGACAGTGAGATACTCATGCCAAGTTTTTTCACAGACGCGTTCGTCTTTCATGTAAATAGTATCATGTTGATGTTTTTTCTTTATTGTGAGTTATACAAACATGGTTGACTCTTTTGATTTCATGATTTTTGGTGACCAGTGATATAATGAATTATTGTGGCAAATCATTATTTTACATCATAAAAACAGTGATGTTTGTTCTATGTAAATAAAATAAACACAAAAAAACACAGTGTACTCGTCTGCGCATATATTATGATTAGAACGATTTTTTGGACTTTTCGTATAGCTCTAATATTTATAGCATACTTGTTTTTAGATAATTTACTAATTTCGTAGAATCAAACTTTTACAAATATTGAATGTCTATGAAAGAATGCAATTCTAATTATATTTTTAAGGATCTCTAAAATTTTCGTAGACGAGTAAACTTCAAAGCATTCACTGGGTTGAAATTTGTCACTCTAATGCAATATTCGTCACCAATCCTTAATCCCCAAATAACTGGCGTGTAGAAGATACTTAGAATTTTCAATTTAATTTTAATAACGATTAGTCATTGTTAGTTAACGATTAGATTTTTTTTTGCATTTGTTAGGGAACTGTGTTGATTTTATTTATTTGCACATAATACAGTAGCCACATTTAGTTGACGTGTTAATCTGTAGTTACTTTCCTCCCAGTTCGGTTTGCAAATTGTATCATTTAATACAATTCTAAATTTGCAACGTTTTAGAAACACAACACAAGGTGACACTCGGAGGAGAAAAATGCATTTATTAATGCATTTATGATTTACCATTTACCATTTTCAAAATTAAATTTATTGTGTTTTTTAAGTTCCTATCCTGAACGAAACTCCTGCCTCTGCTCCGATGTTGACTATTTAAGTCTGATTGTTTTTTTTTTTTGTCCAAATAGATAGTGGGAAATTTAACTATTTGATGCTTTTTTCTTTCATTTTTTTAGTAAAGCTGACATGTTGAGATTCAAGGTAAGATGTAAAATTTGAACATATTTGTGTTCAAATTATTTTATCTTTTATGATTTATTGGAGACATTTTGTATACATAAACGATTGTGATTGGACGCTTCGGTCAGCATCGAAACCAAATTTTTTAAATAACTTTTTAAAACTATAAAATTGCTCAATTTAAGTCAAATTTTTCAGTCAATATGTTATGGATAGTGTTTAATTACCCGTCGTTTAATATTGGTTTTATGTGTTACTGGGATCCTTGGTGAAGGTACTTTTAACAATATGTAACTATATATAAAAAAAAGGTTTAGTACATAATGGTTTCAAAAAAAACGTGAGTACATTTATTTATTGTGCATGCTGCTATGTATATATGTTGTATTTGGTATGTGTAATAATACTTTTTAATTTGTGCTTGTGCTTACAATATTTGAATATGAAAAAATCGGCACTGTTCTGGGGGATCCATGATTTGTAAGGGTTTATTTACTTTTTCACTATCACGAATTAAACCGATTTATCGCATTTCAAGAATAACTAAATTTTATTGCATCTGTGCAAAATCACGCTTACGTAAAATTGGATCTTCTAGGACTTTTTTCTTCTTTTTTTTTTCCTATGGAATCATTTGTTTTACTGTAATTACTAATTCACAGACTTATCTCTATGGCTTATGGGCAAATCGGAATGATTCAAGCAGCTGCTGGATTCTTTGTATACTTTGTAATCATGGCTGAAAATGGATTCTTACCCATGAAATTGTTTGGAATTAGAAAACAATGGGACTCGAAAGCTGTCAATGATCTAACAGATTCTTATGGACAAGAATGGGTAAGTTTGTCTTTAATAGATTTAGCTTGATTTTTTTTTCCATTCATGGCCAACAGTTCATATAACTTCATATCTTCTATTTTTTTTTTATCCGGTTTGAATACATTCTTCATTCAACTACCTTATTCATTCAGCTGAAAAATCTTCAAACAATATTAAATGAGATAGGTTTTAGAATTTGAATAATCAATTACATTATTATAGACATACAGAGATCGCAAGACTCTTGAATATACCTGCCACACTGCCTTCTTCGTCTCTATTGTCGTTGTACAATGGGCTGATTTGATTGTCTGCAAAACGCGCCGTAATTCCTTGTTACACCAGGGAATGAGAAATTGGGCTCTCAACTTTGGTCTAGTTTTTGAAACTGCCTTAGCAGCATTCCTGTCATACACACCAGGAATGGACAAGGGACTGAGGATGTTCCCACTGAAGTATGTATTGTGTGAATGGTGCAGATGAGGTAATAATAAATAGAGCAGCGCACTGAGTAATATCTTTTCTCCAGGTTTGTTTGGTGGCTGCCTGCTCTGCCATTCATGATTTCCATCTTCATCTATGATGAGACTAGAAGATTTTACCTACGTCGCAACCCTGGTGGTTGGTTAGAACAAGAAACATATTATTAAGAAAAATGTTGCATATAGAATATATAAAATTTTTAAATTAGTCTCATTGAGCAGTAATATGATAGCAACCAATTTAACATTGAAATATTGTTAATTGTTGTTCAATCATACCAATTTATGGTTGCTATTATTTTAAAAAAATTGTTCTGTTAATAAATTAAGATTGTTTTTGATTTAAGACATGTTTTGGCGTTTAAAACCCATATTTCAGAAATGTCATTGCAAATCTTGATGATAAAAAGGCAGGTAGTAACGATAACATTTTTGGGTTTTTATTTTATTTTGAGTTACAACTACCTTTATACCTGATTTGTAGAGCAGAAAAAATGAGCAAAAAGTTCAATGTATTATTGATCACATAAGGCAATAATACAAATTTTTCCAATTAAATGCAACGCATTAGTAAATTCATTGAAATGCAATTCCTAATGCATTGCATGTAAATAGACAACTCACTGCTACAAACAGTGCATTAAATTCTGTTTTAGGCATTAGTTTTTGAAATCCATTTTCATTTTAGATCATTTTTGCTATGTGCAGTATTCGGTCCTTAGGATCTAAGGTAAAAATTTAATATAGATATAAAGTCACTGTAAGAATGTCATTTCTGAACTTTTACTAGACCATGTAGAATATAACGAGTTCATGCTTTTGAAGATGTGAAATCTTAATTATGTTTAAATTTATTTTCTTCTTTTTCTCTTTTTTTTTAAAAAAAAAAGAATCTTCAATAAAAAAAAAAAGAATCTTCAATAAAAAAAAAAATGTCGATAGTCATAAAAGGCATAGTTCATAGATTAGATGTGAATGGAATACTATTTCTAAAAAGCCAAGGGCAATGGTCCTCAAGTAGATTTTAAAATATGCAGAAAAGTGCAGAGTCAAAGCCATGTTACAGCAAGGGATCATACATCATAGTTTTATTGTTATCTGTAAATATTATTGCGCAACTTTTATTTTGTCTCTTCATTTAATGTTGTAATGTAATCATACTTCACAAATGTGTACTGATAAACAACCTTCATCAGTAATTTGTTAAAATTCAAGATCCACTTCGATTTCTTTGGAATATATCAATTTGAAAAACATTTGGTTTGTTGCAAATGGTTAAAATAAAGTGAAAATGAGAGCTGTAAATTGTGTTTTATTAATATTACTTTTATCATTAGAAATTTATTTCATAGCATTTTTTTTAAGCGATGTACTTGTATGCAAAGTTCTGTAGGAATAATTGTTTAAGTTATAGAATAATTTTGACTTTTTAAATTTATATTTTACTTCGTTATGTGCTAAGGGCTTTTATTCAGTTCTAAATTTAATTAAAGGTAGCTAATATTTGTGTGTATTCAAATATTTTGGTAAATGAATAGATTTTCAAGAATTGTTTTAGGATATAAGTATTCAATTTTGCTAGTAAACTATTAATAAATTATTTAGTTGTTTATAATTTTGTTATCAAATACCACAAACAAATTCACTTTGCCTAAAATAACTCATAAAGCAAAATGTTCAGGCCAAGCTTGTATTTTTCAGTGGTGCATGGCATCGTGCTCTAAGGCAAATTGCTGGAACTTTCCGTATCAAAAATTAATTTTTTAAGAAAGATTAAATTTAAAGAAAAAAAATACTTTGAAAAAAATAGATTTTTGAGAAATTTTAAATTTTTGTCAAAAGTTGACTTTTTTTGGACAAAAAAGACTTTTTGAAACAAAATGTTTTCTTTATTTTGAAATATTTTGGGAATTCTGAACTTTTTTTCAAAGCAATCGTACTGCTTTAACTGCATAGAGACGTAATATCGAAGCGCGTAAGCGCCGCGTCGTCGTCTAACCCATAGGAATGTAAACAAAATTTATACTCATTGTTAAAATCTCTATAAAATACGTGATAATTTGATGTGCCTAATGATCACTTTTGACCGCCAAATGGCAGTTTTACTTGTTTCGCTAGATCTCCGAAACCGCTAGACCTGTCTTCATGAAAATTTGATAAATTCTTCATCTTATTAATACAAGTAAAATGTTTTTTGAATTATTAAATATGACGCTCTGTTCTTTTAAAAACTGAGTTACCGTTTGTGGCATTTTCGCCCCGTATATTCGAAACGGCTAGACCTGCTTATGCCAAAAACTAGCACGTCTCCTTATCAACAGCCCTAGACAATATCAATAATCAATCGAATGTTTTTTAACTTCCCGTAGGGCAAGTTATAGTAATCGCAAAAAAATCGAAAATGAAAATTTGTATATATCTTTACGTTTCAAGGGTTTCTGAACATTTTGGCATACCTTAGAAAAAATGGATGTATGTGTGTGTGTGTGTGTGTGTGTATGTATGTACGTGTGTGTATGTATGTGCGGATACAAATATTCGTCGACGGTTTCGGGAACACGAATCAACCGATTTGAATAATTCAAAAAACATTCGATTCGTATTGATAAGGAGACGTGCTGATTAGTTTTTGGCGAAGGCAGGTTTAGCCGTTCCGAAGATACGGGGCAAGAAGTGCCGAAAACGGTAACTCAGTTTTTAAGAGAACGGAGCGTCCGATTTGAATAATTCAAAAACTTGTATTGACAAGATGAAGAATCGATAAAATTTTCATGAAGGTAGGTCTAGCGGTTTCGGAAATGTGGAGGAAAAAGTAAAAAAATGAGCCATTTGGCGGTCAAAAATGATCATTAGACATATGCACATCAAATTATCAGATATTTTATAGAGATTTTAACAATAAGTATACATTTTGTTAACATTCCTATGGGTTCCGTACTAATGCTTATGCGTTAGACAGCGACGCGGCGCTTACGCGCTTTATATTTTGTCCCTATGCAGTTAAAGCAGTACGATTGCTTTGAAAAAAAGTTCAGATCTTCCAAAATATGTCAAAATAAAGAAAACATTTTTTTTTCAAAAAAAAAAAGTAATTTTTTGTCCAATTTATAGTTTCTCAAAAATATTATTTTTTCGAAGTAAATTTTTTTCAAAAATGTTAATCGTTTTTAAAAAAAATAATAATTTTTGGTACGGGAAGTTCCAGCAATTTGCCTTAAGGCACGATGCTCTAATTGCCTTAAGACAGAATTCCACTTACAGCTAGTTGAATAATTGAAATCTGTTGAACCGTGTTCCCGAAATCGTCGATAAAAATTTGTATCTGCACACACACACACACACATACATACACACTTATACTTATGCATGTTTATCTATGCACATACACATACATCAATTTTTTCTAAGGTATGCCAAAATGTTCAGAATCCTCTCAAACGTAAAAATATATACAAATTTTCATTTTCGATTTTTTTGCGATTGCGACTGCGACAAAAATTGTTTTTTCAAAAACTTTAAGTACTCCTAACCCCTTAATTGCATATATTTTTTAGTATTTTAACAGTAAGTATGAACCAAAAAGATATTAGCTTTTTAAATAACCAGCAAAATTATCGGCTGGATAATGCTCTGCTAAGGGCTGTGCGGGCTGTGCTTTGTTAGCTACATGAACGTGTTTCTCTCTCTATGGATTAGCGTAGCATCGCTTTTGACAGCCCTTTGACAGCTATCAGATATAACAGTACAGTGCAATCACAATCATTATTTTTGTAGTGCAGTTTAAAGTTTGAATTGAAAGTTTCATTGAAATTTCAAAGCGCAGTATGGATCAAAGTGCTGATCTCAATAAAAGTTGTAAAAACGATGTAGATTGATCGAATGAAGTGTTCATTTATTGAATATAAAATGTCAAACACCGCAATGAAACCTGTTCCTATGAAACTTTTTGCAGCCTGGGAAGTGGATAGGACCCCTTCTAATTGTATTCCCAGGTTAAAAATCATCAATCAATCTCCAAATGCACGACAGATAAATATAGTCACACATACACACTTCATATAATGTATACACACAATAATAATTTAGCAATGTTATTTGTATTACAACTTTAATGATTTTTATGTTATATTGTTGTTACTGTTCCATATTTAATATAGGGCTTTTATTGTATTGAATTCAATGAAATTCGATTATATTTTATTCTTCCAAAAACAACATTGTATATGTATATATTGTGCGAATATTTATTATAAAATTTGTACAAAATTTGAAAGAAAACACTTACTTGGAAGAAGTTTAGAAGTTTTCATATATTATTATTGTGACGGAATCATTCTGAAACTTATAGATTATGTTTGAAATGCTTTAGAAACTGCTCTTTTGTAATTTAAGGTTGTGCTCTTTGACTGTTACAAGACTCACACTTCTAACTCCACTTCCCGCTGATGTAACAAGCGTGTCTTTGGCTGTAAAAATGCAAAGTTCAAAACGCATTTTGCGATCACATGAGATATCCTTAGGTGCTGTAGCTTTACAGCCAGCACAATCGTACAATCCATCACAACAAAGCTCTGGCAAGTAATAGACACTTGATATAGATTTAAAATATTACAGAATTTTCTTGTAATGTATATAGTGTAGTAATAATTGATAATCATTCTAGGTGTTTCAATCAATGTTCAAAATTCAATAATGGCAAATCAACAATGTAGTGTAAATGCAACTGGAGGTAATCAAAATTACCAGCAACAATTGTTGTCAACACTTCAACCTTCTTTGCAATCTTCAAATTTAGCTGGACAATCTACTTTATTAGAAGCAGAACTTGATTTACATTTTAGTTTGCAGTATCCTCATTTCATAAAACGAGATGGAAACAGGTATGTACATTGTAATAATTGTTTTGTAAATTGTTGCAGATATACAGTTTTACAAAATTACTGTACTAGTACTAGTACTAGTGAGTACCATTGAAACATTATTTTTGATACATATATTTCTAACAATATAATTTTTTATTTTTTTTATTTGAATTTTAATATAAATTTTATACATATCAGACAGGCAGAAGTGCTTGGTATGAAAGATCGTACAAAATGTCTATACTAGCGTTTCTCAAACTTATTTCTTCCAATGCCCCCTTTGAAGATCAAAATTTTTGTAGCGCTCTCCTACCAAATTTTTTATACCTATAAAATCTCTAAAAAACATTTTTTTTAAATTTTAAAAATATAGTTATAGTGTGATATATTAGTTCATGTAACCTTACATTCTAAATTAGAAAATTTTACTAGTGAGAACAAATAAAACGCTACTTAAAACAATGTATACATAAAAAAAAATTAGTTAGGAGCCTCTTATCGCCCCCCAGGATATTACAATCGCCCACCGGAGGGCCCACTTTGAGAAACACTGGTCTATACAAAGTGTATATATACACCTAAGTCTGTTTTTACACGATCTTTTTGTGCACGGTTTTGATATAACACTGTTTGAAAATTGAATAATTTTAATTTTTTTACACGATTTTATTCCATTTAGCACGATTTGAAATTTTATGTACTTAAATTTTTTTGTCAAATTTAATTTTTGCGAAGTATGTTCATATCACAAAAAAGTATTTATGAAAGAAAAAAGTCTGAAACCATCGATAGTATCGATAGTTTGCGAACACTAGCTTAAAGATTTACGTGAATTCCCCTTTAGCGCGTACAAACAATTTTTACTGCTCAAAGCAAATGTAAATAGCACTAATTTAGGGAAACCTTAAAAATTGAACAACCTATTCTTTTCGTTTACAACGTTTTTTAGTTCCTGAACTTGCCATACATTTAATTTATATTACTTTTAAGATTAGAGTGCATATCTTTTCTATCATTAATTACTATGCTTGTGAAAATAAGCATTATATATTTGATTTAATAAAATAAACATGAATTCTTGTTCTTAAAAATTCTTGTTTTTGACTAATTTTAATAGGTTTTAGAGATTAGGAACAAATCACCCATTTTTGTATAAGATCAATGTCTTTTTTTACACGTTTTTTTTTTACACGGCTTCTTCTGGAACCAATCTACCGTGTAAAAACAGACTTAGGTGTATATATATATATATATATATATATATATATATATACATATGATATGGTCATTACAACATTTTATATCATTTATTTTATAATTCAATCATACAATACTACATATATTCATTTTTACATTCATGTTCTGGTCTAATTTATTTATCTAATTTTTTTATAATATTCTTTTAACATAGTTTTAAATTGTTTCTCTTCTTTAGTCATCTTTATTTTTTTCAAAGCCCATTGAATAATTTTATAGCACTTCATATAGTGTTTTATTTGTTTTTGTTTGCTTTAGATGATAATTTTCCTGTTGTCTAGTATTGTACTTGTGTATTTCCTTATTTATAGTTATTGATGTGCATGTTTTGATTTTGTTATGTTTAATCTTATGTATTAATTTGCACTTTTCTATTTTTAAAGTTTTATTTAATGGTAGGTTATCTGTTACATATCGAACTAGGGTGAGATAGGGGAGATTATAAGTTGTTTTTAATACTTTATTTATTATTATCTTATGTATTAATTTGCACTTTTCTATTTTTAAAATTTTATTTAATGGTAGGTTATCTGTTACATATCGAACTAGGGTGAAATAGGGGAGATTATAAGTTGTTTTTAATACTTTATTTATTATTATTTATTATTCTCTGAATGCTTTCTATATTTTTTTGTGGTTTGACTCCATGTTGCAATTCCGTACATAATTATAAGCATTATGTACGCTTTCAGTACTAAAATTTTGCATTTAGTTCCAAAGTAGTGTATATCTCTTTAGTGCTCCTGTTAGTGAAACTATCTTTTTTTTTTCATTCTCTTTATGTGGTCTGTCCAAGTTAATTATTGATTGATTATGAGTCCTAGATATTTTATATTGTCTACCTCTTCAATTTCAGTTTTGTTAACTTTAAGCTTCAATTTATTTTTTTCTTTACTTCTATTTGTATATGTATTTTGTTTTTTTAGTATTAATGGTAATTTGTTCTTAAATAGCCAATTTGAGTATGTCTCCATGCCTTTTTTTTATATATTGCTCTAGCTTATATTGGTCTTTGTCTGCATATACTATCGCCGTATCGTCTGCGTATAGTATATTTAAGTTTCCTTTTTCAAGTTGGTTGTATATACAAGGTATAACAAGGGCCTCAGGCATAGATAAAAGAAGAGTATGGCCCCAGGACTGATGTTAATTTGCATATTTCACTTGTGGAATTTCCAATCTTTGTCCTGGTTATTCTTTCTGTTCAGAAAATCCTTTAGAATGCTGAAAAGAATGCTTTCCACTCCTAGTTCTAAAAGTTTATTGATCAAAATCTTGTAATCTACCATATAAATATAATTATGAATTTTTAATGTGCATATTATCCTTTACTTTAAGATTACAGATTCTTCTTCAACGGCGTAAAAAATACAAGTCACGTACTATTCTGGGGTACAAAACATTGTGTGAAGGCTCAGTACGTATGGATCAGGTTTTACAACGATCTCGCGATATGCAGATTGATTTAGGAGGTGATGGAAAAAGTGCCCGAAAATGTGGACCACTCGCACGGCTTACTGCATACCAGGTTGTTATTTTTAAAAATATATTATTGGAATAGCAATATATTTAGTTTTGGTTTTCATATCCACTTTTTAATAGAATGTTTCAAAAGAATACAATTTTTTGTGTAAAACATTTGACTGATTCTACAATGCATTTACTATTTAATTTCTATGAATATTTGGCTAGAAGTTATTTTATTAAGTAAGTGTATTAAAATGTTTTACAGTGAACATGTAGATTATTGATTTATAGGTATCATCAATACCAGTGGATCACGACAAACAAAACAGTTGTGCTATGTCAGCTGATCGAGGAGTGGCTGAATACTCAGATGATGATGAGGAAGCTGAATTCAGTTCGGCAGAAGATAATGATGAGCAGCTATATGATGCTAATGTCAGTCGTACTAGTGTTAGCCAAACTCGTAAAGGTTTGGCTTACAGAAAATTACAACATGGTGCGCACACTGGTGATGATGCAGCTATGGGAGCGCATGCTGTTGATAGTGATAGCGAGTTTGAGCACTCAAGAAAGGGTGCAAAGTTGCCAAGTAGCCGGGTAAAGATCAAAGATTATTTTCATGTATACATCTATATGCGCGCAAGAATTTATTTATAAATTCATCTTAATAGCAACGTAACCTCAAACAAAAATTTGTGGCACTGTTACGACGTTTTCGTGTACCAGAGGAACTAGAGGCTGGTGTAGCAGGGAGAGAAGAGGGAGCTCTAGAGGGTGCACATGAAATTGATGCATTATTTCAAGAGTTAGAATCCTTGTCTTGCGGAGAAGCCGATGACTCTGCTCCTGAATTGGATACAATGTCAATTGGTTCAACACCAAAACCTTCTCTCAGGCCATTCTTTTCCAGCTCTCGAAGTTTGCTTTACGATGCAACCAATCTTGGATAGTTCAATATGTTTCAACTGAAATAGTTTTTATTGCATTTGCATGCAACAATTGGTGAGTTCTCAATATTTATATATATATATATATATATATATATATATATATATATATATGTTAAAGAAGTTAGTTTTGATGTTGAAAAAATGAGTAAGTTCTTCAAGGGCAATACATCAAATAAAAGGCAAAGATTTAGAAGTTAATCTTTAATTTTTTTCCAAACTTTTCGACATAGGATTTTATGTCATCATCAGTGGATATTAATATGGTCTTACATCAGTAACTAGAGCATGGCACATAATTTTGCACTATCATATATACACTAAGTTGAACAGAGTATAGCAAAATATTTGTGAAATATAATATATTTTGCACGGAAAAAGTAGTTTATGCGTACGTTTCCGAGGCAATAATCCGAGCAATAATGATTATTGCCTCGGAAACGTGCAAAACATATTATATTTCACAAATATTTTGCTATGCTCTGTTCAATTTATTCTGTTCTTATTTATGCAATGGTTCCGTCGTTATTTCATTCCAGCGATTCAGTAGGAACGTCCAAAGCTGTTTCGTATTAGTTGGTTGCAATTTTCTCTCTTGTCTGTCCAACACGTCCCACAGCAACTCATCCGGCGACTCCGGCCATTCCATATATTTGAGTTCTTTCTACTTTTCTTTGACTGAGAAGGAATTTAGGAGTGTGCTTAGGATCATTATCTTGCGGGAAAACGAATCCGCGACCCACAATTCTTTTCCTATGCGGAAAAGCGTGCCGTTGAAGAATGTTGTGGTAGACTTTTTTGTCCATTATACCCTCAATTTTAACAATGTCACCAACAATGTTCCCAGCAAATCATCCCCAGACTAACACTGAACCACCACCATGCTTGACTATGGGGGATCACACATTGTTTTATCATGCATTCGTCAACCAAAACGACGACGTCGTTTCGGTGTCGTTTGTTGAAAATTTGAAATTTTGATTCGTTTGTGAACAAGACTTTAGATTATCGTTCAATTGTACAATTTTTATGTTTATTAGCCCAATTCAATTTTCACTTTTTTTTGCTTGCATAGTAATGTTTTTTTTAGAGGCGACGCATCCTTTGAAGCCGTAATTTTGTAGACGCTGTACATTTGAAACCCATACTTGTGCTTTGCGCGCGGAGTTGAGTTTTTCGCGAATTCGGGGGCTGTGAGAGAACGATTTTTGAACGTCGAGGATTAGTGTTAGTCTGGTGATGATTTGCTGAGGACATTGTGAAAATTGAGGGTATAATGGACAAAAAAGTCTACCACAACATTCTTCAACGGCACGCTTTTCCGTGTGGGAAAAGAATTGTGGGTTGCGGAAAAACACACATGCTAACAATTACAACTAAGACAACAGTCACATTATACTACTGCAGGAAAACAAAAACAATTTGAAATAAAACTGAATAAGGTAAACGTAATAAACAAGTTTCTATGACGCACAATATACACGAAGCAAAGCATACGTAAGCGCGACAAGTGGTATTGTATGACTAACCTAAGTAACTAATTGTATGTTTTAGAGGAAGGGTAATAAATCGGGGGCATAATAGGAAATCAGATTTACAGAAATAGATTACATTTTGATAGCTTTCTGAAAGTAGGCAAAAAAAACTACGTTCAATTACACAATTTGAATTTAAAAAGATAAAACAAAATTCGGAAAATCTTCTAAGGTCCATTGTTTGTAAAGCATTGTTTTAAATTGTTTTAGATTCTTTGAGTTATAAATATGCTGATTTATTCTCTTGCTTTTTTTTAGCAATTCATACATTTCATTCAAATCATCTTCTACGCATTGGCTGTTTTTATGCGATTCAATATGTTTTAACGTCGAACAAAAAATTCTCGATAATATATATATATATATATATATATATAGAATAGTAGAATATAGGTATATAATAGATATATAATATATTATATATATTATATATATATATATTTATAATATATTATAGATATATTATATATATATATATATATATATATAACTTTAAATATGGAATATTTTTTTCTTGTATTGTTTGTTTGCCTCTTCTTTCATTAAATTTTACAATTACAGAATTATTTTATAATGGAAGTGTTCATACTGACTTCAAATATGAGGCCATTGGACTTGTATAAATGAGGTATAAAATTCGAGCAGAGAGATCCTAAATAAAAAATTGAAAAAAAAAAGAATGTCACAGTTTTATTCCTCTGATCAAATGAGTATGGAAAAATGTGAATGGAAGATTTCATACTAGAATAACGAATAGCAAACAAAAAGCATAATCTTTCTATGTACATTTAATTGTTAAAATGTATATGATGCAACCCCAAGTAAATACTGAGGATAACCAGAACCAACGGAGATGAGTTCTATATAAGTAAAACAGATATTAGTAAATATGAACGAGCTGGCACAGATTTAAGTATATACAATTACAGTGCTATTCGATTGTGTCATTCATTTGCTATTGGATTGTGTCAGATTCATGTAGTTATATTGTGAAACTCATATAATTATTGGCACATATTATATTTGATGTTAGTTTAGTGACATTTTTATGTGTAATGTTTTAAAAAGCAATTTACCAAAAGTGTTTGTTAATATTTTTTAACTAATGTTTTCTGAATTGGTGACGCACAAACAATGTGGTCACATAAGCCTTAATTACTTAATATCTGTTATTACTGTTGTTGGAACCATAATGATTTCTCTAACAGTCAGCATTTTTTTAAAACTTTTTTAATAGGTAAACCATTTTTTTTTCTCGATAATTTCTCAAATGAAAATTGTTTAAAGAAGTTCTTACAATTGATTTAATAACATTTATATAATATTTGTTCAGTGCCACAAATTATAAATGGAGATTTTCATTATGGGAGATCTGCTAAATAATGAAATGCCCGTGAATTTTTATAAAATACATCAACAGAAGAGTATAAAGATATATGTGTTGTATTAATTTTTTTTTTTAATTTGAAAATTTGTTTTATTTGACATATATACATTGATTTTTACATAAAGATTCAAATAATTCAAAATATTTAATATATTGAAAGATACAAAATATGTGTTGTATTATCATTATTATAGTATTTATTATAAATATGTTCTGTGTTACCAGTAATTTTAGTGTTGCGAATGGATCTGCACAAAGCTTCATTTTTCATTAATGGTTTCTGATTTTTTTTTTTTTTTTCGATAATAGTATTGAGATAAAATTTACTGACTGCAATGATTCTTATCATTTTTGACAATATTCATTAACTTTACCTTTAGTGTAATTTTAATTTTAGGAAATTTTCAACACTGTAAATATATAAGCAGATAAACTGGATGTGTATCATAAGTCTTAATATTTTAACATAAAGATTGTGTATATTATTAATTATATATACTCATTTTTGTATAATAGAAAATTTTGAATGAAAATCGAATATGAGTACTGAATTTGGAATACCGCAGGGAAGAGTGTGATGTTAAATTTACAGATGAACTGTTATTTGATCTTACACTAAAGAGGTAGTTGCAATTATGCAATTATAATTTAATTACAATAAATAATTTGATTTTTGTACAAATAGTGTAGGTCTTGTAATTGTAGATATCTGTGTACACTCGATATATAGTTTTCAAAAAGGAATGTTATAGTTAATGTTGACAAAATGAATCACCTAAAACCATAACATCCATCCCTCAACTTAAATTGAGTTATTTATAATACAAATAATAAAAAATATTATTCAAACAAATAATAAAGAATTATTTGTAGTAAAATTAAGTTTTTGTAACAAACTTTGTAACACTTTAATATTAAGTTCCTAGTAATTCTAGACAGTGATTACAGCTATGAACCTCGAATCGGAGATTCCTTCGACGACACTCGCGTCGGACAGACATTGCTTTTACCTGAAAGTATAGGTTCAGGTATAGGCTATATGCTTCCCAGTAAAAATATGGTCCAACAAAAGTCAAATACCTTGACCAACCTGAACCTGTGCCGAAGACTCAACCTCGAACACGAGAACAAGCATTTGGGATGTTAAATCTATTGAGGCCTCTCTTGAGCCACAAAGACTAGTTGAGGGTTACGAACAAATGGACACTATACCTGACTCTAATCATAACGATACGTTCTCGGCCATCTAACCTAAGATACGTTCGCGTTCCACACTGGACCGACACGATACGTTCTAGTATGGAACTCGACATCCAAGGCAAACTTGCTGGAACTACAGACTACAGAAAACAAAGCTCTACGACTGGTATTACTCGACAAAACACATGCACGAAACAGCCGACGTACCGACAGTTGACAAATACATTAAAGGTTCATTGAGATTTTTTTCTCACATGCGAGGATTATAACAATGACAATATCAGGACTTTTGATTAGGGCCGGATATCGGTTGGTATGGCAAATACGTCATGCCAAACTACATCTTGATTTGATTCATACTGTACCAGAGAATACGTATAAAGTATTAGGATTTTTTTTTTGAAAGTGGTTAAACATTTTAACTAATACAGTAATCGCAAAAATCAAAAATTTTACATATTTTTACGTTTGAAAGTTTTCTGAACGTTTTGACTTGTAAAAAATCAATTTTATTGATATATTAACAATTTATTATCGGTAATAATTTATTACTTTAAAGTAAATATGGAAACACGACCATACCCTTTAATTAATTAATTAAAGGGTATGGTCGTGTTTCCATATAGAATTGGCCCCAACTTGGTATTTCAATTATTTTGATGTCATTTTCAAAGATAAACAAGTATAAAATGGCCATTTTATAGGTTTTTATGAAATAAACCTATATAC